GGACTAGGATGGGGAGACCCAGGTTCTAGTCCTCCTTTAGGTATGGAAGTGAGCTAAGGGACTTTGGGCCAATTATCCTCTCTCAGCCCGACCTACCTTACAGGGCTGTTGTGGGGAAAAAGAAGGGAACACTATTGAGCTCCTCAATGAAATGTGGGCTAGAAAGCAAATAAATAAATAAAAATGGGTAATTCGGTTATTCCAAGGAGAGAGGGAGAAAAGAAGGAAAGGAATAGTCAAGACAGCTTTTCCCAGTTTGATAAGTGAAAAGCCCAATGACTGTGCTCAACTTGGCTTTTATTGTAGAGTCAAACCAGTTTGGTGTAGTGGTAAAGGCATGGTGGGAGAAGGGGTGGGCCACTCTCAGGGCAGACAGCCTTGGTGCTTAAGACCAATACCACATTCTGGCCCCCCAAGCCAAGGTTTCTGAAGCACCAATAACTCTGGACCCAAGCTGTTGCTAGTTAATGCCAGATCAGCCAGCAGTAAAGCCTATCTCATCCATGACTTGATTGTGGATGAGAGGGCCACCCTGACTTGCATCAACAAAACCTGTCTGGGTGCAGAGGGAGGGTTTCTCCTTTCTGAAATGTGCCCTCCTGTGTGTGGCCCTAGCCGCAACCCTGGGCCAGGGGTGGGGGCATGTCTGGTGTTATCTGGGAGTTGCTGATAGCCTTTACAGCACTGCCTCAGATACGGCCAGATGTGAGACTCTCTTTGTGAAGTTGAAGCACAGAGATCAGTTGGGACTTTGCTCACTCACCTCCTTCCCTGCACTGTAGCAGCATCCCTTCCTTGACTCCATGGCCAAGTTGGCAGTGGGTTCCACAGGCTTATGGTCCTGGGAAATTCAACCCGTACTCTTTGGCCAGGGGTCAGGAGTTCATGGCTACCATGGCAAACATGGAACTAAACCAACTTACTGAGGGCCAACCCACAATAGAAGTCATACACTAGATCTGATGTTTGTCTCAGGATGGTGGCATAGTGATCTGGGTTTGGGGGATGTTAACATCAGTCCCTTGCCATGGTCAGATCACATTTGACCATGGCAAGGGACTGATGTTAACATCCCCCCAACCCAGATC